AAACCAACTGTTTCGAACGGTCTCGTCCCTACAACTCCAGCAGCCGGATAAGGAGGAAAGTCTGGTTGCTCAAATGGCGTAGCCACCCACATAGTACAACCTTTACAAATCTTTCTCAAAATTTTCTTGATATATGACCGCCCATGGGGGATCCAATACCGTTGTCTCATTTTGGACCAGGTGTAGTGCACGCTCGAATGAAATAATTTCTCATGGTAATGCTTCACGATCAGTTCCGCTATCTTCTGTTGATGAAATACGAAAAATCCTCAGTTCGAGGCATAGCCTTTCTAAGTCTTCCAACACATCTTCAGATTCCATTCTGGTCTTTTCTTAAACCCCAGTGTTCGATTTCCTCTTGCATTATGTTTAACTGTGCCATCTCGACTATCAATTGCATTACCTTGTCATACTCATTGGATGCAAATTTCTTTCGGAAGAATCCTTTCAAACTCCTTATCTTCTCCTTTGACATCTTCGCAAGGAATCGTAAGACGCATAACATCGTTCTTATCAACTTAGACGGTGATGAGAGTCGTGACTCATCCATTAATGCCGTAACTTGATCTGACTGCATCGCTTCCATCAATCCCATGGCCATACACACACTTGTGATGTCTCCTTTTATAACTTTATCCTCGGGCCATTTTTTCTTCGGCTCTCATAAGTATGATGGTCCATTCCACCACAACGAATTGTCTTTCAGTTTACCTGGGAGAAGTCTTCGTGAAGCCTGGTCTGCTGGATTACTTGCTGATCTTACATGAGGGGATTCAGTTCCTTTCTTCTTATCTCATCAATTCTGTTTGAGACATATCTGGATCCTACCGGCGGTTTTCTTAACCAGTGGAGGACACTGGCGCTATCAGTCCATATGTTTTTTGCACTTCGATTTCTTGCTTAATAAATTCCAGTACTCTTACTCCAATTGTGACAGCGAGTAATTCTAATTGAGGAATACTGGCTGATTGATTCCTGCTTTCTCGTTTTGGAACTAATCTTGTCTTTCCTATATCAATTGTGGTTTGGATGGAGTGATATTACTTCTGCGTACGTATACTGCTAATCCCAGAGCTCTTTGGGATGCGTCTACAAACCTGTGTATTTCGGAACACTCTTGTGACGTCCATCGTGATACTTTTATAACATTCTGTTGGTTAAATGCCTTTTCTAACTCCAAGTAATATTTCGTTTCTTCAGGTTCTAATTTCTCATCCTAGGACACACTCTTCTTCCATAAGTCTTGAACCAGCAGTTTCCATGGGAGTATGATCGGACACAATCCCAATGGATCGTAAATGGCAGCATAAAACTGTAATATCTGGCGTTTGGTCTGAAGGCCTTCTTCCGAGATCTTCCATCTCCAAGTAAACTCATCTTTGATATTATTCCATCCGATTCCTAACAGTTTGGTAGCGGTCTTCTTTGTTATTTCTTGCTCACTATCCATCTCAATATCATAGTTCGCATTAAATTCTCCTAAGTACATCTTGGCTTTCTTAAAGAGTTCTTTTGCTTCCTGTGCTTTTCTATTACTTTCTAATTCATTTTCCGCGGTTAATACAACATTATCAACATAGAGATTCTTTGCTACTTCTGCTGATAATTTAGAGCTTTCTTCATTCAGTAGATGTCTAATGACAGCGGCTAGCAGAAAAGGTGATGATACCACGCCGGAGGGAACTCGCGTGAATCGGGTAAGTAGCTAGGTTTTCTTGAGTCACTTCCTTCGTCTTATCTTCCAGCCATAAAAACCTGGTGACATCTCTGTCTTCCTGCTTTAAGCTCACTTGCAAAAATGCTTTCTCTACATCGACTATCACCAAGTAACGTCCTTGTCTGGCCCGTAATAGAATTCCTACCAATGACGGCATCATTGCTGGTCCCCTATACAGACATTCATTTAGTGATGGGCCTTCGTTCGTCTTTGCTGATGCGTCAAATACTACCCTAAGCTTCGTGGTGGATTTCTGAGGTGTTATTACCGCTTGGTGGGGCAGGTAAGATACTCGCCATGTTTCATTCTGATTCTTCATCCTTTCTATGATTCTTTCCTCAAGTAAGGTTTTAATATACTCATCGTAACATTCCAATAATTCTGGAGACTTCTTCAGTCTTCGTATTGTAGTTCGTAGACGTCCCCATGCCAGTCCATATCCTTTTGCTGGCGCTATCTCTTGGTTCTTCCATGGCCAGCTCATTACACATCTCCCTTCTTTGTCCGTGGTGAGCGATTTTTGAAAAGCTTCAAAGGCTTTTTCATCCTGATAATCCGTCATTAAATCTCTAATCCCAATTGCTTCTAATTTCCACGTTTGTTCAATCTGCTCCATGTGGATTTGCGATCCCTTCTCATGTTTGCAATTGTTTGGAATTTATAAGACTCGTCATTTCTGTTTCCCATATCACTATCTTTTGTCACTTTCCGTTTGCCACCTTTGTTGGAAAAACCGAAAGGATTTATTATATATAAAATGCTTAGAATATTTCT